TTAACCACATGGCACTTGGGTATTCCTTTTTATTAATCACTGAGTCAGTTTTGAGGTTTTGCTCTTCTTTTGGATTTGGTTCTGCATTTTAGTCCTTTGTGACGGTGTTACACTACAGGCGTCTGCTAGACCATGGTTCATCTTTTGTCTCTTTAAATGACATTGTGATAAAAATGCTTTTTAGCAAACTAATACTAAAGAGAAGTTTTCTTAACTTGATAACACATATCTACAAAAACCACACAGCCACCATACGTGGGGTGAAATAGGTTTTGTTCGTCTGTGAGTTCAGAAGAAAGATAAGAAAGCTTGCATTTCCAAGCCTGTTGCTCAACACTGTACGTGGAGAGGTGCTTGCCAGAACAGAACCCGAATCTCTAAACCTCTGTTTACTTGTGCATAAAACAGGGGCAGTAATTATAGCTACCTCAAAGAAATGTCGTAAGGATGAACTAAGGCATGAAAGGTGATTGGTTGGAGGCTTATGGGCAGGGTAGTCTTCACACCATAGTGGGCGAGACCTCGGGTTTTGACAATGGAATGTGGTCAGAATATGACCATTTCAAACAGTCCTAAGATGAGACACTGCTTCTATACCGTTAAGGAAATGAGTTGGCTAGCAACAGTCCTGAATGAAGAGATACAGTGAACACATCCAAATTCCGAGAGCCATCCTAGAGCTAAGTTCAGCCGTCAGACCAAGAGCAAGAAGAAGACATACTTAGGCCTCTGATTTGGAGGATAATGTGGTTACACAGCACTGTTGCAGAACTAGCTGACAGACACACTTGACGTGCGAATAGAGTTGATCTACAGTCCCCAGTGAGCTTCCTCCTCTTTCTTCACTGGGGAATGTTACACACTGCTTGAACATGGACCTACAGAAAGGTGAGATGGCTAAACATGCATGCATATGAGAGGTTATGCATCCGGGGACATATTCCAAGGAATATTAATTCAGAAAGATGTCAACGAGTATTTTCCTCTACAAAAACCCCCTATGGTTGAGTACAGTTGGAAATGTAGGCAAAATGAAAGAGAAGTCTGATGCAGGGGCGGGGTGCGGGGTGGGGGGGAGACAACGTGTGGGTCCATGTACACCATGTACACACATCTAGAAGCTAGAACAGGATGGCTGCTATCTTTTTTTAAAGAACCCTTTCCCCTAATCCACTGAGACAGGATCTCTCACTGAACCCAGAACTCACCATTTTAGCTAAGGTGGCTGACCATTGTGCTCCCAAGACCCAGCTGTTTTTGCTCCTCAGTGCTGATCTTAGAGGTGGGTTCAGCGATACCCAGGTCTTGATGTGGGTCCTTTGTGTTCAAACCCAGGTCTTCATCGGATGGAGCTGTCTCACCAGCTCTAGCAGAATTAATTAGCCAACACTTTGAAGCTGCAGGAGCAAACATAGCATGAAATGTGCCAACTGTGTGAGCAAAAAGGATTCACGTGGCTGGAGCGCCAACAAACCATTTTGGGGAAATCCTCATATGAAAGCTAATAAGCTGTCCAGCCATAAACTCTATTAACTACATTCCCTACGTGTGGATCTCACACTCTATATATTGCAATTATTTTTTCTTAGCGTACTACAGCTATTTCTATCGTTCAGACTCAGCTTCTGCACGATTCTACTCTCACCACGGCAAGGAAGACTTTAGATAATGCAGCAAACACATCCGACAAAAGAGTCAAGCTTCTATTTTATTCTGTCTTGCTTTTAAAATGCTAACCTTGGTGCATCACACTGATCTCCCGACCTTCGATGGCTTACAACCCATAATGTGAAAAACAATGTACGATGTGAATAGATAATACTAAAAAATATACTGCGATATACACTTAATTTTCCTCCAGTCTTTCTAAGAATTACATGGCTCAAGACAATCAACTGTCACCAAAGTCATCTCCCACACACCCTACCCCCTTCCTCCCTCAGAAACCAAGAATAAGAAAACACAACTATAAGAAAAAGCTCTTATGGACACACTGGTAAGAGACCTATCTCTGGTCTGTAAAATCCTCTCAAGGGCATGGCTCCAATCTGCCCCACTGCCCAGGTACTCAGCTGCCTGCACCTTTATCACAAGCCATCCCCTGTGGTGTTTAGCTCCTAGGCTCAGATTTCCACATGGGTCCTTCAGGGAAACCCACCAAGCCTAAGTCTCACTTTCTACATTTATCAAGTGAACGCTTCTGCTTTGAAGATTAAATGAGAAATGCAGCTAGATTTTACCCCGTCTGCTTACATCACCGTTGTATAAAACTCTACCAAAGTCTGTACTGGAAGATGATACAAGAGTAAACTTAAGAGAGGAAGAGAGACCAGGTTGACCTAGTTCATGCTTGTTCCAGTGCCTAGAACCACCCTGATGCAGATGAGTGTTGAAAAAATAGTCCCTGGAGGTATGAATGAATGAATGAACAAATGATTCAAACACTTACAGCTCATGCAAAATACACTTACAAGACCAGTGCTGAAAATCTGCAGCTGGATCACACCAGTGCTGCCTGCCTGCCAGTCACATACTGACTTGGGTCTGACCTCTAGACTATTCTCGGCCTGGGGATGCTCACCTAGCTTTTAAGTTGGGAGATGAAGAGTGTAGCCTCATCTAAGAATGCTTCAGAAAGTCCAGTCTCCACCCAGGTCCTCAGCGATCCCAGCTCTGGCCTGTAGCTCCTGCCTCAGCTGCCACCTGCAAGAGTCTTTCAGGCTACTCAAGTGTCTATCCAAGGGGTTACTTAAAAAACTCATTTTATGCTGCAAAAAGCATACCAGCCAGGGATGTGGCCTTCCAGAGAGTGGATGCTAGTTACTCTTAGAGGACCACTGAGTTCCAAGTTGAGTGAACAGGAGTGTTTCTTCTGACAGCCCCGCCCAAGAGATCTGGGAAGATCCCTTAATACAGTTCACATGCTGCAGGTATAGGTGACCCCAACTTTGAATTTAACAAAAGATTTTCCCAGGTGTCTAATGAAAGAAAAGGCATTGCTTTTTTCCCTGATATCTGTAAGGGGCACATTACACTATAATCAAGCATGCCAAAGGGCAAAGGTCACCACCGACACCCTTGGCACTGTAGGTACACAGAGAAAGAAGAATTGCTCATTCTCCATACTGCTTCCCACACAAACAGCCGTCAAGTTGGACAGTGCCTCTTTCTTTTCTTTAACAAAGACACATGGGTACCTATTAGGTGCCCATGGCAGACCCTTGTACACAACATTGAACATGAAAACCATGCTCCTATCCTCTTGGAGAAGTTACCCCCCCCCAAAAAAAAAGATTTTCAGGTGGAGTGATTTTGGCCCCCAAGAAGATAATATTTGGGAATGTCTGGAGATAGTGTTGATTGTCAGGGAGTAGAGGACATGTGCGTGCATCTATAAGGTAGGAGCCAGGAACGATGCAACATTCCAGAATGTTAGTAGTGCAAAGTGTGGGAAATGCTGTGCCCTTGAGCCTCCAGAGGAGATAATGCACCCTGTGGCAGTGGTTAGGGAGCTACAGTGAGGGGACTGGGGCTCCAAGAGCACAGAGAAGAGCTCTATCATCATAGGTTCTGGCCACAAGATAGTGCTCTCTGAAGGGAGACCAGAGGCTTGAGGGGGAGCTGCCAGCAAGAACAGCAATACTTTGGGGGAACTTCGTTCTTTCAAGAGCTGGATTTACTGAGCAGGAGCAGGTGAGTGAGGCTGAGGTAGGCTAAGGCAGAGGCAAGGAAGGCTTATCCTATTCTATTCACCACAGAAGGGCCATCTCTAGCGTGTGAAGGTTTAACTTGATGTTGAGAACATGGCTTGAAGCCAGGTCTCCATTAAAGTCCGTTCAATTCCTCCCCTCTACCAACTACGGCCTTGGACAAGATACATTGTATTTCTCAATCCATTGTTATAAATAAGGCAGACGCCAGCAGGGAAATCTTCCTTCACTGGTGGTGGGATTAATGAGAAAATGCACGGGGACAACTTGGCACACAGCCACCAGTAGCACAGTGCTCTTATCTGTTCGCAAAGGTCAATCTGGGCCCTGTGTACAGAATACAGTAGGGAAGGCTAATCAGAAATACCCTTACAGAGTACAAAGCACAACAAAACAAAATACAGAAAGTACATAGACCCACAGGAAGCAAGGCAGAGTTTCTGAAAGTTCTTGATCCAGCATCATAGTGATCTTAAGGGACAGTCACGCAAATGGCTTCTGGGATAGGTAAAATTTCCACCCTCAGAAAGCACAGCTGTCCTACACACATGGACAACAAAAATTCCACCCAATGGATCTCAAGAAGAGACACCCAGTGACCACAGGAAGATCTTCACTGCAACCCTCCTCAGTGATAGAGATAAACTTGAAGTTATTCCAGGAGATAACCCATACCATAGGTCTTCCGAACAGCAAGACCCTTCTAATGCATGCCTGTCAATCACCTCCCCTCCACATACAGCTCGGTGAATGGGATGCTAGTTTTCTAAAAAGCTGTCTGTTCAGTGATTGCTAGATAAACGAGAACCCTAGATCCCTGCCTTTTCCCGACAGGTAGTGCTTAGGAAACAGTCAGGACATACATTCTCCATCCTTAAATGGTACCCATTCGGTTCCTTAAGTCCACTCTGGGTGAACTAAATCACACTTTTTAGAATCAAATTCTGTCTCACACTGAACAACAGGGGTATGAGTGATGAGCAAGCAGCATCTGGTCTGTTACTGTGACACAGTGGGGTAGAACGAAGACACCTTAGGTCCCTTTGAATACAGGACACTACACTGCAAATGAGACATAACATAAACCGGGCACACTCAAACGTTCAAGAATAGTGGAGGGAGGCTAGAAGATTGGAAGTCCATCGTTTATGGCATCTGGTCACCACCAACCACCATGGCTTCCTATACCACCTCAAGCCCTAACCTGGGAGGAAGGGCATTCCTTCAGAGAAAGTCCAGTGTCTGAAAAAAGACACTCCCACCCCAAATCACAGAAGCAAGTGACCAGCCTTTCTGCACATACTAAGTTGCTTTTATTAATCCAGAACGGCATGCTACAGATACTGTACAGCATGGACATTTATTCATTACAAAATGGCTTCCAAACCATTCAAAAATGAACTTGGGATAAGCATCGAACAGAACAGTAACACCACAACTGTTAGGAAACATTCAAAGTATTCACAAAAAAAAAATGTTATAGTTAGCATTTTAATAAACCAGAGAAAACCGGAGACAGTTTTACAATCGCTTCATGTCAACTACGATGGCACTGAAGGAACGGGTCTCAGCTTTATACAGCATTTTACAACATTGGCATGCCTAGGTTCTCTTGTTTTTAAAGTTCACTACCTACTTGTATGTAATATGCGTACATAAAAGCGGCAGCTGGTTTTTTTTTTCTTTTTTTCTTTTTTTCATTTAAGAGTAATCTAATATACAGAATTTTTGGCCCTTAAGGGTTTAGACCTCTTCATTTAAAATGCTTTCTGGACAGTCTGCTACCAAACACATTTTGTTATAAGTGACATTAAAACTACATACAAATCTATCTATGTAACATCACAGCAAAACATGGCGAACAGAAAGCACAGCATTAAAAAGGAGGGAGAAAGCTAAAGTCACTGAGAATTTTGGCACATAAAAGTTTTGCACACGGTCAGTCCATGTTCTAAGAGCACAGGGCAATTGACTAGGAGGTCAAGGGGGAGACGGGGCAGTTCCCACGGCTGCTCAGACCCTCTCGCTAATGTTCAAGTCTTGTTTTACATAATGGCTTTTAAAGCAACTTTTGTTAATGCTACTGATCCTTAATGCAACTACCAATGTCCATTTGGTGGCATCTGGGTTTTATACAGAAACAAACAAACGAACGAACGAAAAGTCAAAAAAAAAAAAAAGGAAACAAAAAAATATATACACATTTTATATATAAACTTAAAAACCTTGTACAAATGAGTTGTTATATATAAGATGCTTATGCTAAGGGGGGGGAACTTTATACAGTTTCAAAAAAAAAAGAAAACATTTAAAATTGGACGGACGTACAGGTACGACAAGCAACCTCTAAAGCAATAAATACTACTGGTCCAACAGTGTTGGTTCCATCCATTGTTGAGTAGTGTCCCCGCCCCCCCAAAAGAACAACACCATGGAACAAGGTATATTAACACATTTTAACCTTTTGTTTCTGTACATTTAAACAATAACAAGTAACATCACAATAAATGTTGTTTCACACGGGGAGAAAAAAAAAGAAAGAAAAAAAGAAAGAAACGGCACGGCATTCATTGTGCCCTCGTGGTTTAAATACCGAGGTGTAAAGTGATTGGTTCGCAAGCTCGTATTTAATACAAATAATACAGAACCAACTCCTTCTGGAGGGTACTTCAAAATTGCTTCTCTCTCTTTTTTTTCTTTTTGTTTTTTTAAATCAGTCTTTTAAAACTAAGCTATCCGAACTACATAACAGTTATGTATATATATATATATTTTAAACGCTACAAAGACTTTAAACAGCTGTTGATAAAAATTTTGGTAGAATCATGAGGTTTCTCTCATCTACATATTTAAAAGGAGAAATTGAAATAAGAATGGGTCAAATATTGACCAATGAACTCCATTAAACATCAACTCATGTAGCCACGGCGGCACAAAATTAAAGAGTACAAAACAAAAGCTTTCCAAGCGGGAGTTGGAGAGGTGTTGTGGGGGGATTGGGGGGAAGGGCAAACCAAGAACCAGAAGGAAACACTTCAATCAAGCAGGGGCATGGAGGACGAGGCAGAGCTATTCTAAAGACTTGGTCACCAGAGACAGAGGCTGGGGTTGCGTCCCAGCCAGCGAGTTGTGGGAATGTAAGGAAGAAGTTGATGGCTGTGCAAGCGACGAGGAAGGGACCATGGATGGCTGCAGAGTGGCAGGTGGCAGGTCCAGGGCCCCGTTGGGACAGAGGGCAGAGGCCTTGCCGTGGGCAGCTTCGGCCAGCAGGAGCGCGGGTGGCGGAGGCATCATGGACAGGTGGGCCAGAGGATCAGGCTTCAGGGACAGCGAGAGCGGCTGTGTCTGCTCAGTCTGTGACTTGGCGTCTTGGGGAGGGGAGCCTAGCAGATGCGGTGAGGGGGGAGGCGAGTCTAGTAAGCTTCCATCTGAAGAGGGTGGGCTGAGGCAGCTGCCTTCACCTTGTATGTAGCGAACGCACTTTTTTTTTCTCCTAGAAACAGGGGGAGAGAGTTATCTGTGAATAAAGGGCAAAGATGCCAATGGAGAGAGTTATCTAATGCTCACAGCAAGTTGAAGTCACCTAAGGGATGTCCCCCTGCAAGTCATGGCCCGAGGTCACAGAGCAATTAAAAGCAGTGACTTCGGTGGGCTGAGTAGCTCCCATGTCCACTCTGACGCAGGAGGTGCCTAGCCATGCCCTCCCTCCCCTCACGGGACACGCCCAGGGCCCCCACTGAGCAGACTAGTGGAACTGACCTGCAGAGGGTGATACATGTTCACCGGTAAGTGGGTTTGTCTATAGGAGGACTCAGCATAGTTTATCTCCCTTTGGGCTTAGATTATCTTCCTTTCCCGTCACATCTTGACCGCCCTCCCAATGATCCCACCCCACCCCCCAGCCTCCAATGATGCCTCATTGTATTTAAAAGAAAAAGAGAGCTCCTTCCCCAGTGGCCTCTTATCAATATGAAACCCTCAGAATGCTGACTGTTGAGCCCATATAGCTGAAGGCAGCGCTACCAAGAGGCTTAAGGGTTTTAACACACCACCACTGTGAGGCTGCTGGTGCCCAGAGAAGCTTTGGGCCTTGTCTGTTAAGAACCACACCAAATCGAGAGGTCAGAATCAGGTGAGAGGGGAGGGGGTGGGGGAGAACAAAACCAAACCAAAACAAATAAAAAAAAAAAGAAAAACAAAACCAATCAAGAAAAGGAAAAAAAATGAATAAGAAGAATCACCAGAAAACAAAAACAAACAAAAAAAAATCAAAAACAAAACAACCAGGTAGAAGAGGGCAAACAAAGGTGGGGGAGGGGAGAGAATAAGAAAAACAGAAAATGATTCAAAAGTACAAGAATAACTGGTTGACATGGCCTGCAGGTTGTGGATAAAATTAAGATTTGAAGTTGTTTAAAAAAATTGCTTTTTGGTTTTGTATTTTTTTCCCCTTAAAGATTTGGGGCTTCCCTTTCCCCACCCCCTTGGTGAGACAGTTCTAAGGAAAGAGGGTGGTATGCAGGGGCAAGGTCTTGTCAACTTGCTGAGGCCAGAAGTGGAGCCCACAGCACAAGCCAGTCACAGAGAAGTGACAGGAAGGGACTTAGGATCAGGGTCTGAACCGGAATGACCAAGTCTGCCCTATGACAACACCATAGCCTCCTCTCCCCACAAGCCATTTGTGTGGGAAGTAGGAGTGAGAATCTCAGAGCCTTTCTTATTTATCATCAAAGGATAAGGTGGGGAAAAGAACTCAAGGAATCAGGCATGGGACTTCCCAGCCTTTTCTTCCCACTTCCATCCCTGACTGATGGGAACCCACTTGGTGGGAAAGCTGACCCGGGGATCAGTCCACTAGTGCTGTAAAAGCAATGGAGATTTGGAAACATGTTCATCCAAAGTCTCTTCAGTATAGCTGTCAGAGCCACAATGGGTGCTGAGCCATCTGGAACCTAGCGTACAAGCACTAGCCAGCTATTTGTCACTGAAGAACCTTCAAGATGTCTCCTGCCTGAAGGTAACCCCCATGGGACAGTGTCTCTGGCATTTGCAAGGACGGGGCTTACTGCATGAGTTCTTCTGGTCTAGGCCCAGAGCATGGCATGGGGTGGGGTGGGGGTGGGGCATGGATTCTATAGAGTGTTGGGAGGGGAGGAAAAGAGGGGAAGGTGGAAGAGAACGTGCTCAGTCCTCCTGACCTCTCAGAGCCTCAGGTCTATGGGACAAGTGTCTTAGGATCTGGATCTGTCTAGGCCAGAAGGAACTCAAGGGGAACAAGGACGGCCCTTCTCACCCTGTCTGGCAGGCTTCCTTTCCCTCCTTGGCATAGACTAGCACAGACTAAGGCTTCTGTTTCCATCCCAGGGATGAAATAAACAATTAAACCTCTCCATTTTAAGCCACCTTGGCCTGCAGATCAAAACATGCTCACAAACTAGGATCTCCATGCATTTTCAAAATGGGGAGAAGAAAAGAAGGGGAGGGTGGAGAGAGTATGAGCAGGATAGAGAAAGCAAGGGGGGAAAGAGGAGAGAGAGGAAAGGGGATTGAGAGGGGGCAACCAGAGGGTAGCATGAAGCAGCATTCCAGGCTCTGCCAGGGCGGGACGAGAAGATGGAGAAGCAACTTGGTGGGCTCAAAACAGTCTGGTTAACATGTCCTCAAACGCCAAACAAAAGTAGGCTCTAAGAATCCTGATTGGCTAGGAGCATTGCTGAGGCTTTCCTCACTCCACCCACCCTCCTTTCCAGACCATGAGGCTGTGTGGGGCGTATTTTGAACACAGGACAGGAAGACTATGATGATGGACTGATGTTCCCCCAAATAGAGTGGGCTGAGGCAAAAGGTAGCTGGAGCACAAACATGTGGATGGGGCAGAAAATGTCTCCATTCCAAGTACTTGTGTGTGTGTGTGTGTGTGTGTGTGTGTGTGTGTGTTGATTTTTTTCTGAATGTCCGACTGATTTTAGCATCCAGCTCAGTGTGGTGATGGCAATGTGTAAAGGAAGAACTGTGGGAAAGAGGGATGGGTACCTCCCTGTTCAGGCTCCATACTGTGACACCCCCTGCACCTCATTTTATAAGATGGAGTCTCATAAGCATCCATGTCTAGCTTGTCCTGTATACATTTTAGGGGTACTTCCTGGTCCTATTTTGGAAGGTTCTCCTCAAACAGACAACAGAAATAAGCTTGCAAACACATTTAAAGCATTTTTAAAAAAAACAAAAACAACAAAAAAAAACCCAAATGTCCAAAATGGAAGAAAAATGGCAGCTGGAACTTTCTAGGGCCAGAGGATGTCAGGAGCCTGGCTAGACTCCATGTCCTCTGTCCAGGGACACATCAGCCTCTTTGACAACAGAAATGCAGATGGCTCCCAACATGTGTTTTAGAGAACCAACCTGCCAAGGTACAAAGATACAGTCTTAATCTGGCCAAAACAAAATAAAAACTCAACTGAAAAGCTGTTATTATTGCTGTTGTTGTTAAAAAGTATCAAGAAATTTGTGGTTGGGAGAAGATAGCCCACCATGTACCTAAGCAAAGATAGGTTGTATTTGAGGATGGAGGTTGGGGTGGGTGGGCTATCCTTGTTAATGTTAGTAATAACTTCTGAAGAAAAGGCCAAGTCTAAGTTTACAGTAACAACATTTATGAATAAAATTATGAGGCCTTGCACCCCTACCAGCCTTACTGTGGGGCATAGAATGGGGCAATGGTGTCAACTGTGACTTGCTATGACAGGATGCTACATTGTAACATCTTAACCAACTTACCACCTACAGAGGGTAAGCAGGTGTCTGATCTCCATGGCTTACCCTAATTTAACACCTAACGTCCTGTCCTTATACAACCATCTCATGAAGTCCCTGGGGCTGCTCTGAAGATTTGTCACATCTGAATGCTGTCTGCTCACAGGAGGTTGTTCTCCCATTGGGTGCCTGTCTGAGGCCCAATTCCCTTACTCCTTACTCCCACAGAGCCATCTGTGTAACTTTCTGTCAGTGATGACTCTCTGGCACTCTCTCCCCTGGGGTCTATGTGTTCAGCAATCTCTCACACTGGCACCAGAGAAGGGGACTCAGAGACACAGCGGACTCGTGGGCATGCATGTGATGGCATGGACATCTGATCTAACGTCTAGACACGGAGCACGGCAGGAGGGTGGGGAAGAGGGACACGTGACGCAGGAGGTACTACAAACAGGGAGTGTGTTTGGGGTATTGAGATACCTACCATCATAATATTCCAAATTCAAAGACTGCTTGTATCAGAACAAAGAAACAACAAATTTAACCAAAGGTGGTCATTAAAAGAAAAGGAAAGGGGTTGGGTACCAGAGAGCATCCCTCCACCAAGAAGGAAGTACCTACACCTTCTCTGCCAGTACCCTGAGTTGGAAAACCTATAGGCAGATCATGGGGCTCAATTTGGACTCTTGAGGACTGATCTGATGCTTATGGGGACCCACACTAAGCCTGCACATACTCTTGCACAAACCCTTGACTGTTTGCTCTGCAGGCCTGGCAACGCTGTAGTATCTGACTGCCGTCGCTGCTAACAGACTGTTAGCTGGTGCACGCCATTCAATGCCACGCTACTTTCTCCACACTGTAAAACAATGTCAGCTAACGAGCTCCTCCACACAGATAAGTGGGCATTAAACACAAAACAACCAAAGAGAAAAACAAAGAGAAAAACAACGTTTTTTTTCTTCCGTTGTCTTTGTTTTTGTTTGTTAAAGCAGCCTGCCCCAATGCACTTATCCCATCATCTTTTTAAAAAAAAAAAGTGCACGGGAATGCTCACTGCCAAGTTCAAGTACTGACTCTTTCACACCTGGGGGTGGGGAGTGGCTCTGGAAGGGAGGTAACACAGTGGCTCTCTGCTCTATGTGCAGGACAGCCAGTCATTTCACTAAGCCGACCAGTTCAAGATGCTGGCTTTGAAAGGCAAAGCCTCAGTACCTGTCTTTGTGTGTTAAGGCCATGGTTGTCAGCCCTTGCCACCAGGGACATGTTCTTTGCAAGAACAGGGAGGAAAGAGGGAGGAAGGAAACAGTATGAAATTAGCAAGGAAAATCTGAAGAATGAGAGTTTATTAGTTATTGATGCTGGTGGAAGAAAGCAGACGTGAATGGGGCAAAATAAATCGACCTGCTAAGGCAGCAGAAGGATAGAAGGCTCTGATTGCTCCCAAGGCCTCAGAATGGTCATGTACCTGCAGGGTTTGCACCATAAAGTCTGTCGGTCAAGCCCGAACAGTGCCCGACACTTCTTTGGAGTATTTGCATCTGTTAGCATAAGGTAAACACAAAAAAAAAATACAACACAATGGTGGGTCGTGTTCAGTTGGATGTGAGACCTTCACTAATTGTCTTCTGCATCATCTTGGCTCTACCTGATAATTGTCCCTCATCAAGGGTTTGAAAGGAAGGGGCTTCTATGAGCCGAACCAAAAATAAAATAAAATAAAATCATAATAAATAAATCAAATAAAACAATAAAACGCACGCACACACACATACACACAAAGGAAAACGACAACCAGAAACCAAAACCAACAATGTAAAATAAACAAAAGGAGAGAGAGAGAGAAGAGGAGGGGTGGAGGTGACATCATTGGCTTCTACCTAGGTCAGGATGACCACATCCTGAGCTATCACAAGGCAGGGGGTTGGCAGGCAACATTCCCTGGTCGAGGGCACGCTGGAGTCTGAGTCTCGGCCCTGAGGAGGCACACACTGTTTTACAGTGGCATTCTGGGTAGCGGCAGCTGGCAGACAAGCACATCCCTCGTGGAGCCCACACACTGGCAGGGTCCCCGCTCCCTGGTATTTCCTATGATCCACACACAAAGCTACAAAGCAACAGGCCAGAGGGGGAAGGAACGGAAGAGACAGCTGCAAACCAGCACAGCGAATCTGGGAGACTATACACACCTGCAGGGGCCGCACCAGTTATTCTGTTGATCAAGGCCAAAGCGCGCTCGGCATTTCTTAGGAGCGCTCAGGTCTGAATGAGTTCAAGAAAGGAGCGAGCAGAGGAGGAGGAGGAGGTGGAGGAGCAGGAGGAGGAGGAGGAGGAGGAAGAGGAGTGGGAGGCAGGAAGAGAGAAGAGAGAGGGAGGCCGAGAGAAGGGGAAGGGGGGGGGGGGGGAGATACAAACAAGGAAAAAATAAAAATAAAAAAGGGAATAAAATCAATGACCGGGTTACTGATAGCAAAATATTGACTTTCTTTTCTTTCTTTCTTTTTTTAAAACTTTCTTTAATTAAAAAAAAAAAAAGTAAAAAAAAAATCACACTTATTCAACTTGTGCAATTAGCTGTTGCAAATAAAGCTGCAGTATCCCTTATCAAGGACTGTCAGATTCGGATCCAGCCGCCCAAGGGGCAGCAAAGGCCAAGAACTTGTTCTTTCAATTATTTTTTTTCCTCTGTTTGTTTTTTAGTTCTGCTTTTTAAAAATCTCTCTTAATTTTCTTTTTCTCAAAGAAGAAAATAAAGCGGAGGGAAGGTTAAATTCGTAACATGCTTTTTTCTTCTGAGTACCACAGTTTTGAAAACAAACAAACAAACCAAAACAAAACAAACGAACAAAAAAAAAAAAACTACAAATGAACACAGAACGAAATGAAACAAAACAGAAAGAAATAAAGAAAGAAAAAGGTTGTGGGTATTGGGATATTGCAGCTTTTGGGATGTCTTTTTTTTTTTTTTTAATCTACTTTCATTAATATTAAGAGGGAGGACAGGGTAAACAGGCCATGAGCTGTAACTGTTAGGAGCGCCTAGCAGGCTTGGAAGCAGGCATGGTCAGTAAACTGCTAGCAGATCTGCAGATGATAAAAGCCAAAAAAGCGAAAGGAAGAACAAACAAACAAACAAACAAACAAAAGTAAATAAATAAAAAGCAAAGGAAAAAAATAATCATAGTGCAATGGCATGCTGGCATGAGGAAACTTAGTGGGGCAACAGAAAAAAATGCCATTAGATTAAGGAGGTTTATAACTGAGTTTGTTCCATAATTTTTTTTTCTTTACCAGTCTCTTTTAAAGAAATACTGCATATTCAATTTGCACAGTTAGTTAAGCTCTAACCCACTGTTCAACGCTGCATAAACAACTGTTACAGGAACAATAGATAAAATGAGACAGAAGTTAAAGTAAAAAAAAATAAATAAAAAATAAAATAAATGAACAAAACCAACGGAAAGCAACTGGAAAAAAATATCTACTGAAACGTAATGCAACCGTGTAGATGATCGTTTTAAAGGACGTTCAAATGTTGTATGTGTTTAATGTTAATAAGACTATAAATGGCAAGAAAAATGAAAAATAAAAACAGTTTATCAAACTATTTTAACGACTCAAAAGCACATTAGCACCTGTGATCGGAGGAAGCGAAAGGCAAGGATTTAGGAAACATTCGCTGTGTTCTGAAAAAAAAGAACAAATTACACAAAGCCTTCAAATTTTTTTTGTTGTTGTTGTTTGTTTGTAAAAGCCTGGTCTTCTCCAAGGGACCTTGATTGCCTATGCAGTATTTCTAGTTTCTTTCTACTGAATGACAAACCTCCTTAATTTAAAGTGGGCGCAATTTACCACTGCAAACGCATGCATCGGGACATTCAGGAGCAACCCAGTTAAAACCCAACACTCACACACGCCCCTCCTGGCCCCCTAGCCTCCTCAACCCTTCTCAGACACACACACAAAATAAGCAGGCTGTCTAAAGCCTGGCAGAGGTGTGCCTGACGCTGGCCCTCTAGTTACAGGCTTGGCAGTTATTTAAAAATACATTCCGCTAGGATTACAACAGGCTTTTCATGCAACAATGGATGCTACTAGCTTTAAAAGGGCAGTCATGAAGCAATTAATTAAAACGCATAAACAAAAAAGGCTCCCTAAGATGGGTTCCCCCACAATGTCCTGGCCTTGGATTTCTCCTGCCTCCCCCCAGACGGAAGCCTGACACAAGAGAGACCCCTCCAACCTCCAGCACCCTGATGGTTCTCACTCACCATTGGTCTCCCCCGGCTGCTTGTCTCTTTTTCTCTTCTTCTTTTTCCCCTGGATAGACAGAAGAAATGCAGGAGATTAGGTCAAGAAACAGACAAGGAGGGAGAGCCCTGGGCTCACACAGCACGGGAGCCAGAAGAGGGACCAGCCTGTTCTCTCCACCTCTCTCCCCAATCCATCTAATGGAATCCTTGAACTCTGTCTAGGTAGGAGTCGGGGGGGGGGGCACACATTTTTTGGGAGAAAAAGTGATCCAGTACGTAGATTTGGAAAGAACTCATGGCCTTCATCCATCTTCAACCTGACCCAGAGGATCTGATTCCATAAAAGTGAAGAGAAGGAAGCAAGGAAGGTTCAGGGGAAGATGGAGAACCATGACAGGAAGTAGGATTAGCACACTGTCGAGGGCACAGAGAGACCTGGGAGCCTTCAGTGGTCCACAGCTGCCCTACCTGCCCACGGTCACACTGTCGAGGACACAGAGAGACCTGGGAGCCTTCGGTGGTCCACAGCTGCCCTACCTGTCCATGGTCTCTCACAATGAAGGCTAAAGTGTCCCTACCAAAGTGGCTTCTTTCTGAAACGGAGTGTGATCCTTTTGTTTTTAAAAAAATGGCACAGAGTGCAGGTGGAGGTGTTTACAAAACAAAACCAATAGGGAAGTCCAAACCTGCAGGGCGGACATGCGTAAGCAAAGGGAAGTGACCCCTCATCCTCTCATGTCGGATACAGACTCCTCAGATTATATCCCAACAAACATATCACTGGTCACAGGGATTTCAATCCCCAGATGTACGTATTACGTCCAACACTTGGAATATCCCAGCTTAGTCCAGCCTGCTTTAAACACAAGTAGCCTACAGGTGGGCAAAGTTGTCTACCACGAAGCCCGCCTTATCGTAAAGTATTGAGTGGCTCGTGACACGGACCGCATGCTTTCTTAAATGCAGAAAGCAGAATGGTTTGTAGGGGTATGCTTCCACGCCGACATGGAGATGGAGAATTGTAAGCCCAGCCACGGCAAACCAGGAGGCATCTGTATATTGTCGTGGCATGACCCCACTGGCAACAGCTCTACACAACATGTGTCGTCATCATTCCAAAGACACAGATAAGGAAACAGGTAGAGAGGCCAGGGAACGTTCTTGAGATGTCATCGCTAAGATGAGGTAAGGGCAGGGGCAAAGCCAAGTGGTTTCACAGCACTGCCCTCAGCCACAGGCCATGCCTTCTACCAAGTACTGTCTGTAACTCTCTACAGAAGCCGTTGTTTGATACCTTGAGGGTGAAGAGACAGCCCTAAGTCATTACCACCCATCAACCTGACCCTATCAAGAGAATTAGCAAGCATCCAGGGCACACTGACTCCACTGCAGGGCAGCAGGGATGCTCTCCAGCGCATATGAAACAACCGCAGCCTTACAGACCCTCATGCTTAAGAATATCTAAATGTTGCCACCTTGGCTTAAAGTTTTTTCCTGGGACAGTGACATCATCACCAAAGACAGAAGGATCAGATGTATGTGTAGTAACCCTACGGTTGTGTCAGGCTTGGATGAGTCCAAGTACTCAGAGAGGACTTCTTGGCCGTCTGAATGTATGTGGTCTGTGTCACTGGGGACATGTGCTTCGGTCTTGTGTGCAGCTATATACCAGATCCTTTTTCTTGGCATGCAAAGGGTAAACAATGGGAGGAAATACCACAAGGCTACCTCAGAGTGGGCGGGTGGGCTTGACAACAGTTGACTTAGGAGCCAGGAAAAAGACTCAAGAGAAATAGCATAGCTGGAGGGAGCCTGTATCACCCCCAAACACCCTAGGGCCATCTCAGGGTCCCCCTACAGAATTCTCTGCTGTGCCCTGACACCTGGAATGAGGTGGGTCCATGGTTAAGCCCAGTGCTGTGCAGACTACCGTCTCCAAGTGGACAGGGATGGGGTTTTAATGGGACGGGGACACGAGGATGTAAGAGGAAGCCACTTCATCTTTAAATGTAACAAGAGAAAAAAGAAACCACAAGAGATGACTGAGAGAAAGAAAAGAAGTGGGGACATACAACCTTTAAGTCAGGAAAGAAGAAGGGATGCTCTATGATGCTGCTGGGTCAACTGGCTGTTACTATGGTACCCAGATAGCTTCTCCTGAGTCCTGAGGGACAGGCCAAGTCTGAGCAGCCAGATTAGATTCCACTCCAATGCACTTCCCTAAGGTGGTGACATAAAGCCCCACTTAGTTGGCGAGGCAGGAAGGGCTGACTCTGGACACATTTCCCAGGAAAACCTGCCGGCTTTCACGTAGCCTCTGCTGTCTGCAGAGCCTCCATCGTCAAGTTGGTGAGAAAGGAATGTCAACTGGTTCTCACCACAGTCAAACCTGCAGAGGCTTCAGGTGTGAGATTCTTGACCCCACTGTCTTCCCTGGAGCACAGAGGAAGGAGCACACATGCATTCCCATACGGGTGTAAAGAGACACTGAGACAGGAGCTTGAGGGCCAAGAGATCAAGTTCCTGCAGTCCTGCATCCAAATCAACTCTAAACCACCCATCCCAGCTCCTCAGTGGCTCCTATGATCCAGCTACCTTCCAATGCAGCGCTGAGGGTAAGTTAGGGCAAGTGCCACAAAAACCTGCTGAAAAATCTAGAGAGTACATCACAGAGGGCCTTGGACAGTGTCTAGAGGACTCCCTGCAAGTCAAACATGAATGCTTCTGACACTGTCACCAAGTCTGCCTGTCTCTTTGGGAGAGTTCATCCTGAACAACCCCAGGGGGCGCCATCTACCCTGCCCCTGGTCTAAATGGTTCACACTTTTCATGCAAAGGTCTCATGAAGACACAGATGCCCAGGATGCCTTGGAATATGGGAGCCATGGAGAAGTTGCATCCTGCTCTGGGATACCCTTTCCATGACTTGAGGATTGGTCTGTAACGAGCCAAAGCTAGAGTTGACCTCTTAGAAGTCAGGATGACAGCTGTCCTGAGATGATACAGTTGAATATGTACAGGAAGCTGCCGGCTGCTGAAGCCACGCTTGGGATTAGATGGAGGTACACAGATAGTCCACAGGAAGGCTCAACTGCTCTCTTCTTTTCAACCCCAGAAGAAAGGTATCCTAGCAGTTCAACACAAAACCAAGCAGAAAGCACCTGCGTAGGTAACACCTCATGATGCTGACCTGCTAGTGCCAAGGGCTGCTCTCTCAGGAGCAGAAATGCTCTCTGGGAAGGGAGACCTGGAGGATCATGGGTAGGGGGCATGCAATGAAGCCCAGTCCAGTCTATTTGTCTTCATGGTCAGTAGCTAGTGAGCCAGGTCTTGCCTTACAAGTGTGAGGAAAAGTAAAGGGAGTTGGAAGAGCTAGCCCTTCCACAGATGAGGCCAATGGAATGGAGTCCATCTTCCTTCTCCACGACATCAACAGGCAAACACTCTCCTGGCTCCGTGACCTTCCGGAGAGGGAGGAGGAGAGGGAAGAGGAAGGGGGGCCTGTGCTGGCAGCAAGGGAGTTTGATTTTAACATCAGAGTGGATGGAAAGAGACATTTTCTGAAACCAACTATGATGCAATAAAGAGACAAAGCAAGAGGTGATTCCACCCCCGGCAGAAAAGGGAGAAGCCCATAACTCAGACCTGCTGGGCAGAATGCAGAACCAGGAATGTTTGGTGGGAAGTGACAGAGGGCTCCAGAGAACAGAAGAGTTGTTCTACGCCATCGACACAAAGAGTGAAAACAATAGTCCTGTTAAGATGATGTCTAAGAAGCCAGATAGAAAATCAAGCAACAGAGGCCAGAAGCACGTGGCACACGTGTCCTGTGACACACCCACCCCCACACACTCTGTCTCTGTGGATTCCAGAGCCCTTTCACCTTCCCTATCAAAAGATGACTTTTCCTGGCTACTTTCAGGGATATTCCTATCATGCCTTTCTCAGGATGAAATAGGCTCCCAGCACCTAAGACAGGCTGGCCAAAGATGCATGCTTGGTTTTCCTCCCCACGTCTGCAGACCCTGCTGAAGACCTGTGAGGAGTGAGGAGAAAAACCCACTCCTCCACCTAGTGTGCTCTTTATGAAGCAGAACCACTAATGACAGGGGCTTAATCTAGACTCTAAGTCCTTTTGGATACACTCTAGAGCCCCACTTTTTCTAAGGGGTAGGCAAAGAGGTAGACACCCCAAATCAGTCTCTGCCAAGCTCCTTGATGAGAAGTCAGGGACAGGTCCCAGTAGTGGACAGAATGAATAGTCTCGAGGCCTGGTTCATGTAGACAGTAAGCCATCCTCTGGGTCCTTGCAGACATACAATATATCTGCAAAGACTGACTTCTCCAGAAAGCAGTCCACGTACATAGTTATCCCGCGCAGACCAGCCAGGGTACAGCTGCATGTGAAGCTGTCGCTCCTTCCGGGCCAGCTCGTAGTACTTTGCCTGTTCTTCCCTGGACAGGGCATGCCACTGTGGGGGAACATAGGTGAGGAAGAGAAAAGACACAGAAACATCACAATCTACACCGTGGTGATAAATGAGACTCTATGCTTTGGGGGACACAAGTCCATCCAGCCATGGTGGAATGTGTAGGTACTGACAGCTTGCTGGGTCCTGGCACTAACAGGGGTACTCACAGAAAGTGTATCTGCCCTCTATGCCCTTCTGTCTCTTGCCGTACCAATGACAGAAAGGTTAGGGATGTGATTATCCCAAATGCCCTTCAAAAGCACGATAGTCTTGACAAATGGAAGCCATGCAGGGATTCGGAGTGGCAGGGTTGGGTGAAAATGCTCTAGAGAATGAAGTGGAAAGAACCGCCGGATGCATTCTTCCGGTCCCTTCTTGAGGGTTTTGAGGGTAGGAGGGGGCACCTACCCTGCGCCCAAGGATCTGGTTGATGGCTGCACTCTCTTTCAGTGTGCACTCGGCCACCACCTTCGCTCTCATCTCCTTCATGTACAACATGAACGCATTTAGGGGCTTCTTTATGTGCGGCTTCTTCTTCTCTTCTTCCTTTTTGGAGTCCTGATGTTTTCTGGATCGAGACAGAAGGAGATGGGCACATACCCTCCGATAAACAACCACGGAGTCAACTTCCCCCAAAGCAGATCTCATGCTCCTTCCTTCTTCCTACCCAAGCCTGGTGTCAGTTTCAAATAAAAAGTTCATCTTCACTTTCAGACTCTCCCAGCCCCTACCCCCCAAGATTGTGTGCCAACAGTTGGAAGAGGAGGCAGGGATGCTGAGACATTCTGAAATCACTTGGCTCTTGCTTCTCAAATAGACACTTCCCTAGTTCAGGGTGGTGGGCCCAACTTCGAAGGGTTCTGTCCCACTTGTTTAACCAAGCTTCCGGTGTTTCATTCCTTCGTTAGCAGAGAGTGACTGCCATCTCCACACACACACCACACATTCACGCACACACCACAGAGATCTCTGTGTGAAGCAGCAGTGCGACAATCAGAGAGACCTGCTAGAGACCGTTTCCTCCTTTATGGGGAAGGCAGAGGCCATATGGACCAGGTGCTCACTAGGATTAAAACAGGAGAGGCTGGCCAGGAAACCCCCTAGTAGCAGCCACGGTGGAAGCTCATCACGTAGGCTACAGATCATGAAACAACATGGTAACACTTACGAGCTGTGGAGGGAGCCGACGTCACTCTGTGAGGATTCTTGCTTGACTGTTGGCGTGACAATAGCAGGGTGGGGGATGCCGGTCGTGTGCAGAGTATGATGGGGAGGGACCATGTGGGGAGGGAACCTAGAAGACAGAAAGCTGTGTAAATCGTCAGAATCAAAATGAATGAATGAGGAGGGATGTGTACACACAATTTAAAAAAAAAAAAAAAAAAGCTCAGTAACATTTACATGAAAGCAACCCAAGGCATATGAAACCTGTCAGCATTAATTAGTGATAAATTAAACATAATGATTCTCATAATGTCATTAAAGCCAGTCTTCCCCTCCGTTATTGCTACTGACATGAGACATTAAGATTTTTAACATCTTTAGCAAAAGACAAATTCAACTGATGTACTTGGGTAGAAAAGTAGGCTTGGACTACCAGCCGGAAATCGCACATCCGTTTGGTTTTCTGAGGCATAATCTGCAGGATCTAAGAGGGTGATTCCCTGAGACCTGATCAGCGCCAGAAGAACAGGTGATATCTTTTGTTGTATATTGGCAGCTAAATAAAATATTAATGTGGTTGAAATGTACATACATGTGTTGACGATGCTCTGAATGCCTCACTAGGCCTCATTCTGGCGACAGAGAGCAATCCAGTTTTTATCTTTTCTTTTGTTGCCGCGCCCACCATTTAAGAGTGGTATGAGAGAGTGAAGCAGACAGAGAAATATTCTGCTAGATTTTCCGTGCGACTCTCATCTTAAGTCATGGGCATTTTGATTATGTGTGTATTCGTTTTTTTAGAAAAATACACACACACACACACACACACAATGAAGCACTGAATTCTGATTTGCATGCCTTTTCTTCAGTAAGTAAATTCTTACTGTTGCCTAATAGGTTATCTGTGCATCATTCAAAAGCCTTATAAATGATACAAATTGTAATCATAGGAAAAACAATCAGGAGTAAGCCACTCCCCTAACAGCACTCACTTCTGGGGAAGTTCCCCAGAACACACCTCAGTCCTTGAATGGACATTTCCCACCTCACATTGCCAGGACACAGAAGCTAGTCTTAAATCCACTGTTGCATCTGCAGACTATCAGCTACACAGGACAAGAGGCTGTCACTCAAATCTTATGATATGTTTGGTTTGTGTGGTAGGAAGAGACCTCCTCAATTGAAGTAGCCCACGGTGTATACAAAAATAGGGCAAAGGGTAGATGGACAGACTGCTCAAGTGAGGTAAAGCAAGGCTGGAGTGAAGCCATGGCTGCCCTTCTTATAAGGCCAAACCAGACCAGAAGAGGACAACCACCAGCCAGGGATCAGCGTGGGCCAGCATCCTGCTCTTGAGAAAGTCAGTTCTGGGAGAAAGGTCTCAGTGAAGCTTCGTTACAGTGATTATTTCAAAGGGCTCTTGTATTTATTTACAAAGTTCCTCTGTAAGTGGATCAGAGAAACAAATAATTCAAAAACGTTCATTTGTAAAGGTATTAAAAAAACTTGAAGGATGAATAGGCTCAGTATATCTTAACAGAGACAAATATACCCACAGAGAGAACACTGATCTTTGTAGGGTTCCCAGAGCCACTGTAGACACATGCCTCAGAAATCCCACCCTCTGGCCACCTCTGCAGACTTAAGGCAGAACTGGAGTTTGGAAATAATGACATCATTTAATAGGAATTAGAGAGATTGGGGGTGTGTGGGGAGAGGGGGGAGGGGGAGAGGGAGAGGCAGGGAAAGGGGAGGGGGAGGGGAAGGGGGAGAAGGAGAGGGAGAGGGAGAGGCAGAGGGAGAGGGAGAGGGAGACAGAGAAAGACAGAAAGGGAGAGGGAAACAGAGACAGACAGACAGAGACAGAGAGAGAAAGAGAGCGAGAGCGAGAGCGAGAGAGAGAGAGAGAGAGAGAGAGAGAGAGAGAGAGAACCAATACCCTTGCCCCTAAAAACTGAAAAAGGGAGAAGCAAACTCTTGAGCTCTAAAGTTATGCCCATTCCTCCCACTGCTCCTAGACCACAGTCAAGAAGACAAGTTCTTGGAAGCCCTTGAGTGAAGGGCGGGTAGAGAGAAACTTCTTATTCTGAAGGTCTCAAATACACACGTCCTTTTCCTGCAGTGTAAGGCTATGTGTACAGACACGTGAGAGAGAGAAAGCAAGAGACCTGGCGTGGGAATGTGTGATCTCCATGTACATACAAACACAAGGCAGGCAACAAGACGGGAGCACATTTTGGGGTTGGGGCAGCTCTGGGTACCACCATGAAGAATGCACACTCTCGAGTCCCTTGACCTCTACACATGTTGGTGCACGTGAAAAAGGCACGACCTCGGAAAGACTGTGTGTACGTCTCCACACAAGACGCATGCACTTTCACCCCTGAACCCCCTTTCTGCAGACAACTGCTTCGTGAAACACCCTCAAAAAAAAATTCTGAGCAGCTCATTATACACCCCCGTCTGCTTTTATGGCTGGAAGCCAGAATATAATGATGAACCTTAACTTGTTAAGGACAACTAATTTTTGTTTCTGGCTGTCTCAGGGGCCTCGCTCAGGCTCACTCTCACTTTGCCTCAGTGTTGACACGTTTCTGTGAGCGGCACGTCATCTGCCGGCCTTGATTTTATGCACAGGCCGTGGGATGCATTTTCCCGTGCAGCCATCCTGCTTTGAGTTGCGTGCGGATCGTCATTATGCTCTCGCCACCGCCCCCCCTCGCACTTGTAACATTTCATCTCTTCCTGCCTTATTTTTTGTGAGCCACGGTGCACCTACATTATGGTTTATACATGATCTCGCTCCCTTTGAAGCCGGCAGATTTCAGGGCCTGCTCTCGTCAGGAGAAGAGCCTTGCCCAATTTAGCAGGCTGAGGGCCCGGAGCTCCAACATCTCAATCTAAAGGGGGTCACAGGGTGGCACAAGTGAGTGTCAGCGAGAGCTGTTTAATTGCCAATCTAGGCTTCTCCATGGTGTTTAAAGTATAATGACCCATCACTTAATTCTGAGAAGTCCTGGCCCTGCTGCTGAATAGAATAAATATCAAAGGGTGTTCCGGAACAGGGCAAGCTGCCCACGTTTGCTATAACTGCCGTACGTATAATAGACCTATACTTCTGTCGCCCCATTACCACAATAATGTATTTAATTTGCTGTATACGCTTTCTAACTAGCTACCTTTCATTTGGCCTACCTGGGGAATCGGCCACCTCCCCCCACCCCAGTACTGCCAGCCCCTAACCTTTCTTCCCGCCACCTCCTTCCTTCCCTCCACCCTCAGCGACCTATAAATCATCAGCTAGCCTCTAATGATAATTCAATCAATAAGCTTAACCCCCCAAGCCCCATCCTACGATTACTTCATCGCTTTCAACCTCTGGATACGTGGAACAAACAAGCAGGAGGAAGAATTGGGAGCGGCGTGTGAACGCTGGGAGGGAGCTAGGATCACAAGCTGTACCCCCTCTCCTCTCCTCCCAGGAGGTTCCCCATTTGCTCCCACGCTTTACAGGGACTGTGACGACATTATTTAATGAGTATAACCTTGCTACTTTCTCCAGCCGAGAGGATGCAGAAAATCGTTGTCCTATCTAACTCGTACAGGCGTGGATTCTGAGATTTGGATGATCTATCACACGTGGGGAATGGGTCTTTCAAGCTGCGGATACTCATGCGCTCACTATAGGCTCTAGCCGCACTGCAGCGTGCTTCTCTCAGTGGGTGCAAGTCCCATGACAAAAGTTGCTTTCCTGCAAGCAGGAAAGGGAGCATACCAGGCAACCTTTTCAGCCCCGTCTCTCATTTTGGCTCCCTGTGTTGGCCACAGATCACGGAGACAGAGGCTGGGGACAGCACCCTTGCCGTGTACTGCGTGCTAATTGAATCATGTGGCATCATCAAAATGGATCGGTTGCTTTAGTCCATCAGGAAAGTCTAAACCTCCACCGATTTAATTAACTCAACGGAAAATCGGATGAACAGAAACTAAAACTATCATTAGGGGCAATTAGTGACTACTTAAACATACCGCTGCCAACCAGTTTGTAAATAAACTGGCAGTCACTGAAAAATTAGCCAGAATTAATTAGAGAAAGGAACATGAGTCCTGGGATACATATATACAGTGTATCTATGCTTATATGCTTAAGCATGAAGTCTGTAGGAATGGATGCAGACAGTTTCTTTACAACTTTTAAAGGTTTAGCAGCATCGTACAGGTCAATGATGAATACAATGTGTCCCTGAAAACATTTTACCAGGTAGGGGGAAGGGTGACCTTCTTAAAGTGATTTGACATGTAAGTGAGGACAATGGGGGTGAGAGGGAGAGGGAGAAAAATGTAAAAGTAACATAAAACGCAAAATGCAGAGCAAACTCCATCAGTTTTCTACTGCTCTGGGGGCTCAGAATATAACTTATTATAGCAGATTCTGAACCAGCATCTGAAACGGTCAGAGAACACCCACAAGTGTTTCCTCAAATTCTCCAAATAATAATCATTAAGTTATCCTCACTTCCTCCCTCCACACCCAGCAGAGGACAACAGAGAATTGATGATTTCAGAAGGCATGCTAGTCTAGCTGCTCTCCCTGACTTGGCTGCTGTTATCTTTAGAGAGTTATTTATTTTTATGTGTGTGAGTATGTGTGCTTGCTGATATGTGCGTCACATGCTAACAGAGGCCTGAAGAGGGCACTGGATGCCCTGGAGCTGGAGTTACAAATGGTTGTGAATTGCCACATGAGTGCTGGGAACAGAACCCAGTTTTCTTCATGAGCATCAATTGCTCTCAACTGTTGAACCTCTTTCAGCCCCGCCCCTGCCTTCTTAACTTATGATACTTTGTTGCTTTGTGGATAGGCTCCCAAAATCTTAGGTCTGCATCACTTATGTTGAAAGGAAAGGTAACTTTTGGAGTTTTTCTAGGAGGAAAGTCTGTTGAACAGTGGTTTATATTATTATACCCACACATGTCCCTGGGCCCTGGGTGGCCTGGTGGCTGTCTAGAGGGCTTCACGAGAAGTCACTGCAACTCACCTAGACATAGACGCGTTGACTGTCAGCGCTGTGGGGTAGGGGTGTCTGAATCCTCCTGTCGTGATTGGGTACACAGGCTGACCTTGCCTGCAAAAAAAGGGGGTACAAAAAAGTGAGAGACTGGGAATGAGGCTGGGGGTGGGCACAAGAGAGGTAAGAAGAGGGGGACGCTCTCTCCGTACAGTAAGCTTTATTCTCATTTGATCAGAACAAAAATCTTGGGGATTGTACAGGCAGGATCAAAGGGAAGAAACACAGAACAATTTGAATGCCATAAATCTGATAGGAATGGCTAATTAAATTTTATAACCTCTGCTTATGTCAATAGAGACCCTCTCCCCAAGCTGAGACTAGGTGTTTTGTTGTAATAATTAAAGGCGACGTCTCGCTTGCTTTAATGGAGCCATCACACTAATTGAGGGCTCCACATCCAAAGGAAAACAATAATGAATGTAAATTTATACCAAAATAAAGGACAGCGAATCAAAGGACTTCACTTGCGCTTTGGGCCTCTTTCGGTATTTAGATCTCGGTGAGAAAACATTAAATTAACAGAGCTTAATTTGTAGCCTTTTGTCAAATTAACAAGTGTTGACAAGAGTTTCTGGGGGGGAGAGTCCCCAAGAAGAATTGTGGGTAACCAATAGACAATCACACCTCATTACAATAATTAAAAAATACAGCAACATGCAGAATAGCATCCTCATGAAAGACACACAACTTTTCCTGACAGAGGCTTGTCTGAGTTGGCTATTCCTTTTTATCTCGTCTTTGGTATCCCCTCCACCAGCGGAAAGGGATGACTGAAGTGTAGAGCCTCAGTCCCTTCCAGTGGAGAAGAAGTAGGTCCAACCCTCCCGTCTACCTCACCAAACAAAAATAAGACAAAGAAACAGAAACCATATGCAACTTAGTATAGCTATTACGTAACACAACCTGTTGTTTTTAGACAAACAAGAATGCATAGCACAGGATCTGTTCGACTAGGGGAAAAGCCCAGGATTCAGACCCTATTCTAAAATTCTACTGTCTTTAAGACTAAAAGTCTGCCTTCCCTAAGACCCAAACTTGATAGCTTTACCAAGATTGGCCTCTTTGAGCACTCAACATTGCCCTGTGTTTTCTAATGCTAGAGGTCACTGGTAAAATGGAGAGACAGATGCATAAACACACACAGCGTCAAACATTATGCGCAAGCTCACACACATGCTAGGTAGTACAAGGTAGACCTGAGAACACGAAAGGCCTTTCTGCTCCGATTTCTAAACACACCATGCTTTTAAGTTGTAAGCTGTGGTCAAATTATCTGAGCACTTCCATGGACAAGGGTCAACATTCAGCTCAGCCTCTGAATGCTCCAGGGAGGGTCTCAATTGTCCCTCTGTGCTCCCATAGCTGCCTGAAGCATTAGCCATGCAAAGAATCTCAGAGATGCTGGGAAGATCGCATGAGATTTCTTCCGCCGTTTCTGCCAGCCTTTGGGGTAAAGGTTGAGTGGTAGCTGGGATCCCTTCAGTCCTACGCCAGATGATTTCACCACCAGGGTGCTCCTATCCTAACTCCCTTGCTGCCACATAGACAACATCTAAAAGAGAGAGCTAAACCCAGTAATATAAATCCAGTTTGGGTTGTCACTGCCAAAAGAGCCGCAAGTAGGCTTCTGCAGTTCCCAGAGTAGCTTTAGGACATCTTTGGGGATGGCGGGTTCACAATGACAATTACCACTGACCCTTTTCAGTGCCATTCATTGAAATGGTGTAATCCTTCTGCAAACCCACAGGACACCTCAAAAGCATCTTCCCTGTGTTGTCCCACCAGTCCCTCTGTAAACATGCACTCAGCCTTGTGCACATGTGTACACACTCACACACACATACACACACACACGAATACATGCATGCACATGCAAACAAATAAGCATGCACATGCAAGAAACAAAAAGGGAATTAAAAACTGGAACTGCTTACTGTGGTACTAACCATCCTAGCGGATGGGGGATTTGTCCTACGGTGCCGGGCGACAGTGGGTAATATGGAGAGATATCTGGAGGGTGCGGAGGCCGTGGGATTCCTGAGAAGAAAAAGCAGTGAGTTTTAGGTATGGAGGAAGAGGGACTGTGGAGGGAGGGGGAGCAAGGAGCAAATAAGGAAAGGGGCTGTCTCTTCTCAAATCCCAGCTGGAGGCCATTCCCAGCTCTGTCCCAGAGGACTATCCCAGCCTTCTTCTTCTTATTTTCCTATAGTTCCATTTGCACAGTGACTTAGATCATTCTAGATGAGCTGGTGTGATTGACTGATTGAGACCAAGGAGATTCCATCTTGAGTATTTTTGCCTCATATAACTAAAATGATTACTTCAAGCCAAAAAAAAAAAAAAAAAAAAAAAGACTTGCGTACTTCAGGTGAGCAGCTCAGAATTATTAACTACTTTTGCTTTGGAACTGGGTCTTTACCCTTTATTTCAGATGCCTTGCCTGTGTGAGAGCTATTCTCCTGATTTGTAAGGCTCAAATAATTAAATAATTAAATTTAATGTTTTGAGACAGAAGTCTAACTACACAGCCCACACTGACTTTGAACTCACAGCCCTCTTGCCTTCTTAGCTTCCTAAGTGCTGTGATTATAGGCAGTCTTATAACTCACTATGACTCAGAGAGGTGTGACCTGATTTCTTTTGAAAGACCCAACTCCTCAAGTGGGCCAATTCTCCCATGAAGAGAAACTGTACAAACCACCAAGTGTCAGGTGGTATCTTTTCCCCAGGAGTCAGAACTGAACGGAGAGAAGAAGCTGGGCATTTGGTGGACTCCGACCAGGACCATGGTTCCCTGGAGGGCAGAGGCATGTGTGGGCACTAGCCTCACTTGCTGACTGGGTATTCCATGGGCCAGAGGGGCCTCGAGCCTCCCCGGGGCCTGCAGAAGTATATGCTGAAAGTAGACAGCACAGCACACTTCCTATCTGCACAGGACGCACATCTGGTCATTCATCCTCAGGAAGTGGAGTCCTGAGAACAATTTAGCTTGAGAGCAATGGCTCTGCCCAGCCACCCAGGCCAAGAGGGAGGCAAAATGGACACAGTGTATCAGAACGAACCCAAGATCGAGGGGACAGGACAGGGATGAAAACTATCTCATTTTTCAAGAAATTCATTCAGGAAGCGTTTAATCTGTAAATTAAGTCTCCCCGGGTGACATTTTGACGCAGACATTGCTTTCTCTCTATTACAGAAAGCAAACAGATTAGCTGGGCTTGGACCCTACACTGAGCCATTTGCACACTTGAAAGAATGTTCGCAGAGGAAAATAAACACTCCTTAGACGTTAATCATATGGTTTACGATAACCATTTAAAAGCTATTCCCTGGCCTACCATTATTCAAATGAGATGCTGCCTGCTGCAAGTGCAGCCTTGTACTTGGCTGGGGCCTCAGGCAGGCTTGGCTGTCTCTTCCAGCCAGTCCAACTGCCAGGCTGTATCCAGCATCCACACAGAGGGCTCAGAGGGGCTGTCTGTGAGCAGAGGCTTTCTGCCATACTAGATCCTTATGTAGGGGGCGCTATAAGCTAGACCTGCTCTTCCTGACAGGTGTAGAGACTGAATACAGTACTCAGCCTCTGTTCAAGACACTGTTGGATGAAATGAAGAAACCTCCCTAGGCTTCGGTTTGTACATCTATAAAATGGGCTCACAATAAACATCCAAGATACTGGAATGGAAGAAGAAAAAGCAAAGTGATCTACAAGGAATAGAGATCCTGGGCGATGTGGTCCCTTAAGAATACACTAACGAGTCACACTTAAGTGGTCGGATTCCTTTAAAATCATGATGTAATCTCATTACTATCTAGTTTGCTTAGAAGGTACCCAAAACCAGCTTCCCCGAGCAGCAGTTTCCAAATGTGCAGACATAAATCTTATTCCAGTAAGTGGATCTCTCCAAAGAGAAGGAGACACAGCCCAGCACACACAGGAGGCTCTAGTCCCACCAAGAGCTTCTGGATCAGCTCCCAGGTGAGAATTTGAGTACCCTCACCCTGAGCCCCACTAATCGTACTCCATCCATCAAGCCTGGCTCAGGTTCCTGACAGAGGCCTTCAGAGTTCCTCAACTTACCTGTTTTGGGGTCTACGTCAGCTGGTAAGTGCGGAGGTGGATTTCCCGGGGTGAAGTGTTCATTGCTGTACGTGATGAGAGGCGTGAGTGGGTGGACATGGTGGGGGTGTTGCACCACCGGTACTTTGTTCGACTGTGAGGGAGAACAAAGGGAGACACGGTGAGCTGGGTCTCCATAGTCCAGAGCTTCAGAGCAAGGGCCTGCATCCCCTACAACACCCTCCCAGCTTGATGCCACAAGATTCCCTCAGCTCTGCAAACTCCCCACCTCACTAATCCATTTAAAAGTAGGAGACAGTTGGCTTTCCACACTGGCCTGTTTCAGGTCCACCTTTGAACACCTCTACATCACCATTGGAACCCAAGATTTTGTCATTTCCCATCACCGGGTGAGTGGAAAGTTGAGGCTTTAATCTCTTAGGCTTACTAGAGAGATCTACACACACAGTACGAACGGAATCCCACCCTGGCCTCCCTACCCACCCTCTGGTGCCACAGGCTCTTAGACATAGCAAGCAGGTGTCCACTCATACTCAACCTGGATGAAAAGCCCCACCCCACCTTAGAATGGGAGACTGAACTTGACCAGAAAGCTCTGGCCCAGCCAGCACCTGTATATTCATCAGGGAGAACTCATAAATTAACTGGACAATGATGAACTGTGCTAATAAACAGGATACATTCAAGAAATGGGCAGTTCTGGCTGATGAAGAGCAAGTGTTTGTTGTATTGGGGCAGGGCAGACGGTGAGGCGAGGCAGAAAACAAAGTAAAAACATCCCAAATATTCCTCATTGTCATCTTCCCAGGCCTTCCACAAACCCTGGCCTCTCTCCCCTCTCCCATGTGCTCTGTCCCCCCTCCCCTCCCCCCTTATGCTGGGCTATAACTCAGCCCAGCAAGATCACAAAGGAAAAAAAAATTAAGCTGAAACAAGCGAACTACTGGGCCATTTACTGAGAGTAATCCAATTGCAAAAAACCCTATTCCCAATAGGGGATTTTCACTAAAATCCTACAACAGGGACATTTAACCAGATTAGGTAGCAGAGAAGATAAAGAGGCTGGTATTAGATGATGAATGGATTAGAGTCAAGTTTCATTTCAGAACGTGTCTTCATTTCCTTTTATTACGTCTAGGAAGGGCACACATTGCATTAACATCAAGGAAAAGAAATTGCATAGAAAGAAAAGAAGGCAGGTTCCAGCACTGCCCACCAGCGCCTCTTGAGTTCAGGGACCACTGAGCAGTTAGTTCTCTTCCTTTTAGCTCCCTTTCAGTCTTTTTTTAATAGACGGAAAAGACATAAAACACAGGAAGAGTAGCTTCTTACCACCGCTAAGGATGGCAAAGGCATCACCAAAAACTGTTACTTCTCCATGGCACGTCAGGGAAGAAAAAACATGGTCATCCTAGAAGATCCTCAAACAGCATCTCCAGTCACTTGGTTTACAGCTTCCTGTAAAACCATGACTCTTCCAGAGAAAAGGGGCTAGCCAGTTGCTTAGAAGACCTAGCTAAATGAAAATGATTAATGTGTAAGCTACAGAAAGTCTGAAATAAGGAATGGTCTCCCAGAGTCAGTAGCCTGGAATGGCGACCAGGCTGGGTATATAAAAGCCAAGGGCTGTTGTGTCCAAGCCTGTGGCCACAGCTCATGGAAGTACACTAAGATCCTTCGAGGGAAGACTCCTAGGAGAGTTTTTTTTGTCAAGAATGGCTGAGAAGGAGTGAAGGCATCAGCCTCCACTTTGGAGAGAGGAAAGAAAGCTGAAGTGGGGAAAACAGATAAGATAGGAATGAGTGGGAGTGACCTGGGAGAAAGGAAAATGACCGAGGCTGCCTTCCAGAAGTTTCCAACTTGATTAGAAAGACAGACCCCTGGCAATATGAAAGAATACAGGTTGCTCCCAAGATGGGACATATATCTCATGAGGAGGGATGATTGTGACCCAGTAGTCACAGGATTGAACCCGCTTTAGGGATTTCTATGAGCAGTGGGCAGATGTGATGGCCATCATAGAGGTAGATAGGGCTGGAGGTGGGCAGGAAAACTAGCTGCCATCTCCATCGAGTTAAGGAACCCTGGTACAAGGCCATTTCTCAGTAGAAACAGCACCTAGGTATAGAGGAACAGAAGTGCTTCCTCTGTTAACCTTGGCAAAGCCAAGGCTTGAGATTCACACAGACACAGGGAAACATGGAGGCCAGAGATGTGAGTGTTTCTCCTGAATCAAGCCCTTGTGTTCTCATAAGGGGAGGCTTTGCACAGATCTAACACATGGTATGTTGAGTAGCTGTACTGGTCCATCATCACTGTCACGATTAGCAAAGAGTTGGCAGGGGACAGGGTGGTTCTGTCACTAATCCCAAGCAGAACTAGAAAGAAATGTGGGGAACCTTCTTTGTCTCTGGCCATAGGGAAGTACAACAGCATTTGGTAACAGTAAGGTAGTTGTGGGACTTACTAACGCTCCCTCTTCATCTTATGTGCTCCCGTTAAAGATAACGTTAGTGAAGCCCGAGCTCTCTGACTGCTGCTGGTACTCCTGCATCATTCTCTTCCCAGCCAATTAGGGGGTTTCCTACCCAGACAACACCCTCCAGCAGTGTAGTAGAGTAGGAGTTGGAGAGAGGACAAAAAATGAAAGCTTTAGATGCTACCTGACTTTAGGAAAGGGATATAAGTCCTATTAGGTCATGACCTTAACTACGTTAACAAGTAGGTCCCTAGAAACTGCATGACCAACTCTCTATCCAGATCAGTTTGTTCCCAAGTAAGGAGGCACATCATGGTCAAATATGCAGAAGGCAGGGTCTACCTACTGCTCCACACCACCTGTCAACACCTGGATCCCTTACAACAAAGGACTTCTTGTCAATACCTGTGTCTCTCTAGCCTTGGACTCCGAGGTCCTCTCTCCCCACAGCACATTCTACCCATCACTGGGGTAGAGTGCTACATGCTACTCATCTTTAGAGTCCTCTGAAACTTTTGCACCCTGCCGTGTCCAGCCTGGGATAGCAAGTAAGCACCATCTCAAAGACCAGGTGAAAACCACCAGACTGAACTACACATGGTAGAACAAGACAGAGCCCATCAACCAGAGGACCAGATTTCTGGAAGGGCTGGGTGGTCCTCACACTCAGAGCAAAGCTCCTGCAGATACCACCTCTGTTATGCTGGTGCCTTTAAAATGGTTTTTATGCTGATTTCTCAGAGACTGAGAGGGAGAACCTGTCAACTGCAAGTGCTGTGTCTGTCCTGTTATGAACACTGTGTGATGCCTCTCACTCAGAGCACCCTGCACAGTGGCAGGCCCACAGCCCATACAAAGGAACTTGGCAAAATGCAAGCTATACAATATAAAGGATGCTGCGATTAACCACTAGGCTAACACCTTCCAATTTGACTCACAAAGGGGAATATAGAGCCTCGGAACACATCCTTTGCAAAGGAATGAAGTCATCACCTAGATATAGGCGCATGGATGATCTGTGGCCCCCACCCACCCACCCACCCAAGTCACACACTCTTCTTTAAAATGTAGTATTTAAAGAGCTCATAGGAAAACAAACAACAAACAAACAACAACTCACTGTACCGTGCCAATGATAGGACATGCCACGGAGGATCTTACAATTATAAAAACAAAACAAAAAACTGGAGATGAACAAGTCCTTCTAGACTCAGTGAGAACGTGTGGAGTATGAACCGAGAAAGTGAGAGAAGATATCCAAGCAGTCAGGGTCCCCCAACCCCCCCCACCCCACTTCCTTAAGACCTTCTGGTATTCTTCTTACTTTAGACACTGGGAGGAAAGGTACTGGATATAGTCACAGTGGATCATTATGGGAACTAAATTAAAACAACAGTTAGCACTGAGAGGGAATGGGGATTAAGACACCAGAAACATTTCTACACTCCTCTCTTTACCTTTTCCAACTGTAATGTCAAACCCAGTGACCTGGAGGTATCTGCTTTGCTGAGATCTCTGTACGAGAACCTGGGCTGCAAACTCTACCGTAGCTAATTCACGTTCAAGATCATGGTCCTGATAGTCAGGGACAGTTCAGTTGAAGAGCCTATTACCAGTATCTAACTCCTTCAGAACAGAACAAAGCTATGTATGTCTATGCCACCAAACAAAAGCAAAAACAAACAAAAGCAAAAACAAACAAAAAACAAAACAAAACAAAAAAAACAAGACAAAATAGAACCCAAATATCCATAAATATACTCCATGTAATTTACTACTACCAAAAATGCGCCCATGTAGTCACTTTTAAGCTACTTAGCTTGCTAGTCCCAGAGCAAGACAGAGACCAACCAATGGCTATACTGAAGCCCTGTTACCCTCCCAGAGCAGCTCAGATCCAGCCCTGCTTCCCGAGTACAGATGTGTACCAATGGTCACCTGTCACATTCACTCAGTGCGACCACAAAGCACGCTCGTGACTGGCTGGCCTCTGTTATTTGTTCCACAGAGTAGGTGAACAAGGATGTCTCACACACCTTCATAGAGAGACGTTTCCAAACCCTGTGGCATCTCCTAATTAATGCACAGCTACTTTAGAACTGTCTGCAGGCCAGAATTACTGGGAGCAGTAACGGCTATGTTGACAGAGGGAAAAGCAACCTGTGAGATCAGCCTGTGTCTACCTTTCCAAGGGACTGAGAGGAAGTCAGTCACCAAATGCAAATTCAGGGGTGTCTCCAGCCCTGCTGACTCCATCACAGGCTTCTTCCAGAGGGGCTTTTCCAGTATGAGGCTCATCGGAGAGGTAGGAACAAACAAGTCTTTGAATAGGCTGCCTCTGCTTCCCAGATAAAACCAGGCCCCAGCAGAATTTTGGTGACAAAATGCTGTCTGTGGTTAGTTCTGGGCTCACAAGAAACCAAAGAAAATAAACAAATGATATAAAACCCTGAACTCATTAAAGCAAGCAGACAATATGTAAATAAAAAAACTCAAACTCCTCATCTGACTTCTGGTCACTGGGGCTTTATTTATGCTTTCTACCTGGACAGACTCACAATCCCCCCTTTCTGCTCCCCCCCCCCATTGCCTTCATTAAACTCCGCGGGTGTGAGCACTGAATAGTTAAATCATAAAGAAAAGATACTTCAATG